CTTAGAGGAAAACATAGGCAGAACACTGTATGACATAAATCACAGCAAGATCCTTTTTGACTCACCTCCTCCAGAAATGGAAATAAAAACAAAAATAAACAAATGGGACCTAACGGAACTTAAAAACTTTTGCACAGCAAAGGAAACCATAAACACGACCAAAAGGCAACCCTCAGAATGGGGGAAAATATTTTCAAATGAAGCAACTGACAAAGGATTAATCTCCAAAATTTACAAGCAGCTTATGCAGCTCAATAACAAAAAAACAAACAACCCAATCCAAAAATGGGCAGAAGACCTAAATAGACATTTTATACAGACTGCCAACAAACACATGAAAGAATGCTCAACATCATTAATCATTAGAGAAATGCAAATCAAAACTACAATGAGATATCATCTCACACCAGTCAGAATGGCCATCATCAAAAAATCTAGAAGCAATAAATGCTGGAGAGGGTGTGGAGAAAAGGGGACACTCTTGCACTGCTGGTGGGAATGTGAATTGGTACAGCCACTATGGAGAACAGTATGGAGGTTCCTTAAAAAACTACAAATAGAACTACCATATGACCCAGAAATCCCACTACTGGGCATATACCCTGAGAAAAGCATAATTCAAAAAGAGTCATGTACCAAAATGTTCATTGCAGCTCTATTTACAATAGCCAGGAGTTGGAAACAACCTAAGTATCCATCATCGGATGAATGGATAAAGAAGATGTGGCACATATATACAATGGAATATTACTCAGCCATAAAAAGAAACGAAATTGAGTTGTGGTGAGGTGGATGGACCTAGAGTCTGTCATACAGAGTGAAGTAAGTCAGAAAGAGAAAGACAAATACCGTATGCTAACACATATATATGGAATTTAAGAAAAAAATGTCATGAAGAACCTAGGGGTAAGACAGGAATAAAGACACAGATCTACTGGAGAATGGACTTGAGGTTATGGGGAGGTGGAAGGGTAAGCTGTGCCAAAGTGAGGGAGTGGCATAGACATATATACACTACCAAACGTAAAATAGATAGCTAGTCGGAAGCAGCTGCATAGCAGAGGGAGGTCAAGTCGGTGCTTTGTGACCACCTATAAGGGTGAGATAGGGAGGGTGGGAGGGAGGGAGACGTAAGAGGGAAGAGATATGGGAACATATGTATATGTATAACTGATTCACTTTGTTTTAAAGCAGAAACTAACACACCATTATAAAGCAATTATACCCTAATAAAGATGTAAAAAAACACAAGCAATGGTCAAAGGATCTGAATTTTTTCCAAAGACATACAAAAATGGCAAACAGGTAATGAAACGGTAATCAGCGTCATTAATCATCAGGGAAATTCAAATCAAGACCATAGTGAGATATCACCTCACACCTATGAGTATGTCTATCATTCAAAGGACAAAAGATAAAAAATACTGGAGAGGATGTGGAGAAAAGGATCCCTTGTAAGTTTTTGGTGGGAATGTAAACTGGAACAGCCACTATGGAGACAGTATGGCATTCCTCAAGAAATTAAAAATAAAGCTACTACATGATCCAGCAATCCCACTTCTGGGTATATGTCCAATTGAAAGTTAAACATTATTCTGAAGAGATATCTGTACTTCCACATTCATTGCAGCATCATTTGCAACAGCCGAGGTATGGAAACAACCTAAGTATCTGTCAGCAGACGAACAGATGAAGAAAACGTGGGGAATGTATATGTGTGTGTGTGCACACGCTCGCACACATACACAGAGGAATATTATTCAGCTTTTAAAAAGGAATACTTGTCATTTGTGACAACGTAGATGAGCCTGGAGTACATCATGCTAAGTGAAATAAGCCAGCGAGAACCACAAATCCTGCATGTTATTACTTATATGTGGAATCTTAAAAAGTTTAGGAAACAGACAGTAGAAAAGTGGTTGCCAGGGTTAGTGGAAATAGAAATGGGTAAAGGGGTAGATTTTCACTTATAAGATAAATAAGTTCTGAGAATCTGTGTATAACGTGACTGTGGTTGATAGCATTGTGTTGTAGAATTGAAATTTTCTAAAGAGTAGAATTTAAATGTTCCCTCACCCACCAAAATGGTAAATTTATGAGGTTGATGGAGATGTTGACTTAATGGGGGGAGCCTTTCACAATGTATACATATATATTAAATCATCATGTTTTATACTTTAAATATTTTATTTGTTAATTATACCTTAGTATAGCTGAAAAAAATTTATTTCAAAGACTACAACAGAAAAACCCTTAATGCCGCATTGAGATATCTACTAAAATACATATTTCAATAAGAAAAAGTGAGTCCAAAAGGAAGGCATAGGATCCAAAATAATGGTAAGCACAAACTGATGGAATTCTAGCATATTTGCTCTTTAATGGCTAAGAATTCATCTGATGGCTTTCTATAGCTGAGTAATAGAGATGGTGTAATAGAGTACGAGAAATATTTTTAAAAATTTCTATTTTTGAACAAATGAAAATTGTTTAAATTTGCGTATCCAAATGCAGAGGAACTTCAAAAATCTGGCAGTTTTGCTCACAATTGCCAGTTTTTTGTTTTATTTTTACACACTGGTAGTTTTATATTATTTGAATAAGTATTAACTCTAGTATTATCTCTAATAGAATAAGGTTCTTGTAGTTGAATGTAGAACTGTGTTTCATATTGCAGTTCACTTAATAATCACTTTATTTATTTAATATCTGTATTTAGAACAGTGCCTGGCATATAGTAGATGCTGTGCAAGTGTTTGCTATTATTCCCGTCCTCTTCCTTCACATAGCTCATGATTTAAATGATTACGTCTGTGAGGAAGGTTGTCAAATTTTCAGGTCTTCCAAATATCAGTCTCATGTTTTAGCTGCCAGCTAGATTTTGGTCTAATTGCCCTGCTTTCGTTCCTAATAAAAGTCTGTAAAACAGTAGTCTTTATTCTCCTCACCTTCCAAAGTCAAGGGACAAAGTCCTTCTAATAATGGTATTACAGATCTCCCAAGTTTGAAATCCTCATACTGTCTTTTTCTTCTGGCTTCTATATTCAGTTAGTCCTCATGGTGCATCAAGTCTTCCTCTTTTATTACCTCTAACCATCCAACTGTTGCTGTTTCAGTTCAGGATCTTAGTACTGCCTAGGTTATTGTAATAGCTTTCTGACTATATCACTTCACCTTTCTGATCATTATTGACTGTGGGATAAAGTTTAAATTCTTTGGTCTGACATTTGGACCTTCTTTTATTTCGTACTGTATCAGTTAGGATTGCACTTACTTATACATAATAAGGTGTCTGGTGGTTGGTAGGGGATTCCTGACATTGATTCAGCTACTTAAGGTTACCAGGTCGTTTATTCTCTTGGCCTTTCCTTCATGGTTACATGGTGTTAAGGTGACTGCCCTACCTATATTCATGCTTAGATTCAGACAGAAGGTGAAGGGGAAAAAGTAAAAGGAGACATGCCAGCTACGTCAGCCTTTTTTTAAGGAGTGGTCCTGGAAGTACCACCCAGCAATTTCACGTAAATCTCATTTGCTTAAACTGGTTCACATGGCTATCCATGGGGAAGTAGAGGTTTTTTGGGGGGGTACATTGGTATACCCCCCCATTTGGGCTTTTGTATCAAGGAAGAAGGGGAAAATGCATACTGGGTATGTAGCTGCAGTTTTGTTACAAGTATCCAGGTCTTAGTTGTGGCGTGCAGGCTCTTTGTTGCAGCATGCAGGCTCCTCTCTAGTTGTGGCATGTGGGTTTTCTCTCTCTAGTTGTGGCGCACAGGCTCCAGGGTGCGTGGGCTCTGTAGTTTGCAGCACACGGGCTCTCGTGTTGAGGCGTGGGAGCTCGGTAGTTGTGGCACGTGGGCTTAGTTGCCCCACGGCATGTGGGATCTTAGTTCCCTGACCAGGGATTGAACCAGCGTCCCCTGTATTGCAAGGCAGATTCTTTACCACTGGAGCACCAGGGAAGTCCCTATCCATCTGTATTTTTAATCTTTTCCTAAATGGTATAATTTCTCAAATACTTCACTCAGACCAATAAATTATTGAACATATCTTGTATCTTTCTACTCTTCAGAACAGTTCCACTCTTCCAGAACGTTCTTCCTCTTCCATCCATCAAAATCCAATCCATGCTTCAAGAACAGTTTTAAATATGACCTCGTCTAATAAAGCTCATCAGTTAATTCCAGCTTGAAATGTTATTTTTCCCTTCCAGATTCCAATAAGCAATTGTCAGAGTAATCTGTTGAGAAATCATGTTGCTTTGTGGAATCTCTTCTTCTGTTGTCTGTAACTGATTTTGTTTGTTCTGTTAGTGTTATATATTTATATTGTGGTTCCTCAGTGTATAAGCTTCAGTTTTATTGTCATTGTCCACAGGAAGTTTATAATTTTGATATCTCTCACTGTGCTTTGTATATAGTAGTATAGGCATACCTCATTTTATTGTGCTTCCCCGATACTGGTTTTTTACAATTGAAGGTTTGTGGCAGCCCCGTATTAAGCAAGTCTATCAATGCCAATTTCCCAAAAACATTTGCTCACTTCACGTCTCTTTGTCACATTTGATACTTCTTGCAATATTTCAAACTTGTTCATTATTATTATATTTGTTATGGTGATCTATGATCAGTGACCTTTGATAATACTATTGTGAAAAGATTACAAATCGTTGAAGGCTCAGATGATGGTTAGCAATAAAGTATTTTTAAATTAAGGTATGTACAATTTTTTTTTAGACATAATGCTATTGCATACTCAGTATACTACAGTATAGTGTAAATATAACTTTTATAGGTACTGGGAGACCAATAAATTTGTGTGACTTTATTGCACTGGTCTGGAACAGAACCCTCAGTATCTGTCTGAGAAATGACTGTACATGATACTTATTCAGTTAACGGATTTGACAGAGTCATTGCTGTCAGTGAAGACTTCTTTATATATGAAGGATAACTTATGAATATCACTTCCATTTGTAACTTTGGTTTCTCTTACAGGCAAATGTTCTGAAAAAAGACTGCATGGGAATGGCATGCCTTACAATGACAGAAATGGAAGGAACATCTTCATCTCCTGTACATCAGAATGGTGATATTCCTGGAAATGCTAATTCTGTGAAGCAAATAGATCCAATCCTACAGGTCTATCTTTATCATTCCCTTGGAAAAGCTGAGGGGGATTATCTGAAGTTTCCAACTGGAGAGTATGTTGCAGAAGAGATTTGTGTTGCTGCTTCTAAAGCTTGTGGTAAGTGTTAAAAAGCAGTGTTTTTCTTCTTATTAATATATCCGTACTTTAATTATGCTACTCTTAACACAATGTACATGTATAATGTATTTTTATGCTTCTGTGACTGACAAGTGTTTTCATATGCATATAAAATGAGAATATCACTAAAGTAGAATTTAAGGTAAATTCTGTGTTGAGCTAGTGGTATAGACTGAATGTTTGTGTTCCCCAAAATTCGTGTTGAAACCTACTCCTCTAATGTGATGAGTTTGGAAGTGGGGCTTTCGAGAGATGAATCAGTTATGAGGGTGGATTCCTCATCAGTGGGACTGGTATCTTTGTTAAAGAGACCACTGAGAGTTCCTTTGCTCCTTCTACCATGTGTGGACATAGCATGAAGATGAATAAGAAGATGAACTATCTATGAACCAGGAAATGGGTCCTCATTAGACACCACATCTGCCAGCACCTTGATTTTGTACTTCCAAACCTCCAGAAATGTGAGAAATACATTTCTATTTTTTTTTATAAACCACCTTGTCTGTGGTATTTTTGTTACAGTATCCTGAATGAACTAAAACAAAAATTGGTACTGAGAAGTGGAGGGGTGCTGTAATAAATTCCTAAAAATGTTGAAGTGGCTTTGGAACCTGGGTAATGGGTAATGGAAGAGTTTTGAGGTGCATGCTAGAAAAAGCCTACATTGTTGTGAACAGGAGATTCTGGTGTGGACTCTAAAGGAGGAGAGGTGTACAGAAAAACCTCAATCTTCTTAGAGAACACCTGTGTAATCCTGCGCAGAATATTGGTAGAATTGTGTACTGTAAAGACCATTCTGATAAGATCTCGGGTGGAAATGAGGACTGTGTTATTGGAAACTGAAAGAAAAGTGATCCTTGTTGTAAAGTGTCAAAGAACTTGGCTGAGTTATGTTCATGTTTTAGTGCTTTGTAAAATGTAGAGCTTGTGAGCAGTGAAATTGTATATTTACTTGAAGTAATTTCTAAACAAAGGTTTGAAGGTGTGGCTTGAGCCCTCCTAACTGCTTATAGTTGTAAAAAGTTAATAAACAGAAACCTCAATAAAATAGAATCAGGAGACCAGAAGGGGGAGCTCTCATGCTCTGCAAGGATACCAGAGCCCAAGAGGAAGAAGACTCCTCTTCTTTGCTGGCAAGGACTCAGACAATGAAAAACCTTGGGCTTCTTGTTTACTGTAGCCCTCCCCTCTAGGACAGTGTTCTCCTTCCCTTGCCTTGGGGGAGCTTCCATGTGGCTCACCATGATTGCAGACCCCAGATTGCAGTTCTCTGCTGATCCCAAATAAATCCATCTTTTCTGGAAAAATACCTGGCAGCCTGTTTGTTTTAGGTCAACATAGTATAATAAGAGAGAAATAACTTACAGGCATAATTATAAATGTTAAGCAAAAAGGAAGCAGGACTTAAAAATTTGGAAAATTCCCCACCTATCCAAAAGATGAGAAAGCCTGTTCAGTAGAGAACACTAAGGGTGTGGCCAAGCAACCATTTGTTAAGATTAGTGTGGATAAGCCATCTCAACAGGAACCAGATGCTGCTACCTAAAACAATGGAAGAATGACCCTGAAGACAGTTCAGAAATCACCAGGACTGCTGTCTTAGCACAGGGCCTGGAGGCAGAATGATTTCAAAGGAGGAGATGCCAGTGTTTGGAGACCTTGAGCTTGCTGCTTGGTGCTACCTCACCTTGAGGGCTCTGCTGGTGCACTGCTGGTGCTGAGCTCCTTGGCTGCCCCAGGTGTGATTCTGGCAGCCCCTGGTGCAGCAGCTGCCTCTCAGCAGGGTGCAGGCAACAAACTGGTGGAATAAGCCATCTCCACTAGTGGAGAATGCACAGGCCCAGGGGGCATGTCTGACTCCACCTAGATTTCAAAGAACAGGAGCCATCCAAATCCACTAGGGCAGGGCCGCCAGGAGCCTTAGGTGCCCACCCTCTGCCCAGCAAAGCTGAAGGGGCAGGAATGCTGCCCAAGTGGGTCCTGTAGGTAGGACCTCTGCTTCAGTGGGCCTGGAGGGCAGAGTATCAAGTTAGAGGATTATTCATGGACCTTAAGGTCTAATGGAATTTGCCTTGTTGGGTTTTAGACTTGCTTGAGACTTGTCACACCTTTCTTCTAAATATCTGTTCTGTGCCTGTTCTGCCATTGTATTTTGGAAGCACATAACTTGTTTAATTTCACAGGTTTACAGCTGGAGAACCTCAGGATGAATTGTACCTTGAGTCTCATCCAAATCTGCTTTAGATGATATTTAGATGAGACTTTGAACTCAGACTTGGAGTTGATGTTGGAATGAGTTAACACTTTTGGGGCCATTGGGAATAGAATGAACATATTTTGAATGTGAGAAGGATATTATTTTGGGGGGTCCAGGAACAGAATGCTGTAGATTGAATGTATCTCTTCTCCCTCAAATTCATATGTTGAAACCTAATCTCCCAGTGTGATTGTATTTGGCGGTGGGGTGATCAGGATATAAGGTTAAGTATCACCTTCTCTCAGTTGCTTTTCTACCCATTTGTGGCTCAGTTATAGAACTTGTCTCTTTGGATTATGGATATTCGTGTCTCTTTTTTCAAGATACAGTCAGTTGTGGTATAGTGTGAAATAGGTGTTCCTAAAATGCACTATGCTCTGCAGAATTGTGCAATAAAAACCATAGGGCTTAGAGGAAAAATGAGATTAGTGGCATAACATAAACTTCGTGACATTAAAAAAAACAATAAAAACAGCACATGTTAAATGGTAACAAAATATATAAAATCTGAAATATATTTGGCACTTTACCTTAAAGTCTTGAAGCTTGCTTGTGGAAGTGGGTGCTGGAAAGGTTGCATCTTGTGAGTTAGTGTGAGGCTGTAGAAGGAAAGTATCTGAGATCACATGAGAAGTTGTAACACCACATATAGATGGCTGTGGCTCATAACATACATGGTAAACTGTATGTTCCATGTATGTTCTCAGTTTGGACGCCAGGCTGAAGGAGTACCCCCTATGTGAGACATGATGTTCTCCTGGTAAAAGGCAAAAGAACATGAGGACTGCTGGAAACGAAATACCTCCCTACTGCCTCTGCTTGGAACTAACACACTCTCAGTTCTTCTCAGATTCCATTGGCCAAACCAAGTCATATGGCCAAGCCAGTGTTAGTCAGATGGGGTGGTCCTCTCAGGGACTGGGAAGAGAAAAGTGAGTATTTGTGAGCAGTGATGTAGTCTGCTACACTTTTCCCTCTTGACCACAAATAATTTCTTTCTTCAGTATTGAGAATAAATTTTCTCCTTCCCCAGTGAGGATACCCAAAGGTGTCATTGAATCAGGCTTAAAATCCAGGCTCTCCCTGTATTCTCTCAGTCATGTCCAGATGTTATTCTGCTTGATTCAGAGAATCTGTGAACTGAAAAGACAATTATTCTGATATCATATCTACAGCCTTGACAAGTTATATTTCAAAGATATGATATGAGATAGTTTTCCCTAGCATAGAGACAGCAAGGTTTAGACAAAATAGCTATGTAGAGTTATCTTTTGGAATCTTCCCACCTCTCTCTGAGCCCTATGCCAGTTACTCTTTCTTGACTGAGGTACTCACGTGTCTAGTATCCTCATATTCCTTTCCATTCCCATCCCCAAATGCCCTTTATTGTATCTAGCTGCAGTCAGAACTTACGTTGATGACCCTTCGTTAAGTATGGTTTTGATGATAAAATAATTTGCAGTAAGTTATAAATGACAAATAGTTTTAATATTGAGATATTTGTATTTATTGAAGAATCTTGATCTGTAGTAACCTCTAATTGTAAAAAATGTTTAGGGGAAATGTATTCCTTTAAAATGACCTTTATTCTTTTCTCAATCCCCAAAGAGTAGAATATTGAGTTAATGTTATAGCTGTACCTCATTCACCTCTTTCAGCTAGCTAAAATTTATTGACACTGTGTTAAGTGCTTTATGTGTGTTACTCAATTCTTACAGCAGCACTAGGGTGTGTAGATGTTGTAGTGTAAGCACCTGACAATTAGCTTTTAAAAAAAGTTTTTACTTTATATTGGAACATAGTTGATTAACAATGTTGTGTTAGTTTCAGGTGTACAGCAAAGTGATTTAGTTATACATATACATGTATCTATTCTTTTACAAATTCTTTTCCCATTTAGGTTATTACAGAATATTGAGCAGAGTTCCCTGTGCTATACAGTAGGTCCTTGTTGGTTATCTATTTTATTTTATTTTATTTTAAAAATTTATTTATTTTTATTTTTGGCTGTGTTGGGTCTTCATTGCTGTGCGCGGGCTTTCTCTAGTTGCGGCGAGCGGGGGCTACTCTTCATCGAGGTGTGTGGGCTTCTCATTGCAGTGGCTTCTCGTTGCAGAGCATGGGCTCTAGGTGTGTGGGCTTCCGTAATTGTGGCACATGGGTTTCCGTAGTTGTGGCTTGTGGGCTCTAGAGCACAGGCTCAGTAATTGTGGCGCACAGGCTTAGTTGCTCTGTGGCATGTGGGATCTTCCCAGACCAGGGCTCAAACCCATGTCCCCTGTGTTGGCAGGCGGATTCTTAACCACTGCACCACCAGGGAAGCCCGGTTATATATTTTAAATATAGCAGTGTGTACATGTCAATCCCAAACTCCCAATCTATCCATCTCCCCCATCCTTCCCCACCGGTAGCCATAAGTTCTCTAAGTCTGTGAGTCTGTTTCTGTTTTGTAAATAAGTTCATTTGTATAATTTTTTTTTAGATTCTGCATATAAGTGATATCATATGATACTTGGCTTTCTCTGTCTGACTTACTTCACTTAGTATGATAATCTCCAGGTCCTCTATGTTGCCACAAATGGTATTATTTCATTCTTTTTTATGGCTGAGTAATATTCCACTGTATATATGTACCACACCTTCTTTATACATTCCTCTGTCAATGGACATTTAGGTTGCTTCCATGTATTAGCTATTGTAAATAGTGCTGCAATGAACATTG